AGTGGCCAAGTTTGGAGGCCTCTGGGGAATTCTGGGAGTTGAAGTCCACCAGTCTTACAGTGGCCAAGTTTGGAGGCCTCTGCTTTAAGTCAGGGGCTTCCTGTATTCATTGTTGATGAATTTTACATTATGTTTAAAATGCTGTTTTAGTTTCTTTGCTTTCATCTTTTTTGGGAACCGAAAGCCGCCCACAGCCATTGATTGAGTTGGGCAGCTACGGAAATAGAATAAATAAATAAACTGTACTGAAATGCATTCTCACCCCTAACACCCCCCCCCCCCCCCCCCCAAAAAGAGGAGAGACCCCAGATTCAGGTGCTCACCAGGTGTCTCTCCTTCGGGACCTCCAAAGTCTGCACGATCTGGAGCTCCCCAGCTGGGCCCTCTTCCCAAAGGGCTGTTTTCTGGAAGAAAAGTCAAAGGCCGCCCCCGTAAGTCTGCCATGCATCTGATGGGCAAAGGAGGGCGGCTGGGGAGCTGCGGGCCCTGACGCTCACCTGTGTCACCAGATAGGGCACTTCGTGGGGCAGGTGTTCCAGGAGTCTGGCCCGGATGAGGTTAGCGCAGATCTCCTGCGGGGACTGGCTGGTCAGGACGTCGCTGTGGTACTCCCACGGGCCCGGCTTGGCTTGATTAAGGAGGTATTTCTGTGGGCACAAAGGATCCTGGGTCACACCTGCTTGGAGCCGAGGGGTACCTGTACAGCAGTTCCTGTTCTGACCCGGGCTTCATAAACCCTAATCAGGCACACACTTATTTTAAAAACGAGGCTTATTTTATTGCAATGCTGGGAATTGTTTTCATTGCCAGCCAAATTAATCTCAAACAGTCCCCCAAGGTAGAATAGAACAGAAATTAGAATTGAATATACAGTAGAATAGAAATTAGAATAGAATAGAATAGAATTCTTTTATTGGCCAAGTGTGGTTGGTCACAGAAGGAATTTGTCTTGGTGCATAAGCTCTCAGTGTACATAAAACAGAAGAGACATTCATCAAGGGTCAAGAATCATAAGGTACAACATTTAGTAATAGCCACAGGGTACAATAAGAATAGGATAGAATAGAATAGAATAGAATAGAAATTAGAATAGAAATAGTACAGTATAGAATAGAATAAAAACAAAAATAGAACAGAATAGAATTATTTATTGGCCAAGTGTGTTTGGACACACAAGGAATTTGTCTTGGTGCATAAAAAGAAAAGAGACATTCACCAAGAATCATCAGGTACGACACTTAATGATAGTCACAGGGTACAATAAGCCATCAAAGCATACCAAGATACAGTCCATATAAACTGTAAGGATACAAGCGACCAAGTTACACTCATACAGTTCCCAAGTGGGAGGGGATGAGTGATAAGGAGGGATGAGAAGATTAATAGTGATAGTAGTGCAGACTTTGTAAATACTTGGACGGCTTTGAGGGAATTGTTTGTTTTGCAGAGGGATGGCTTTCGGGAAAATGCTCTCAGTGCACATAAAAGAAAAGTGTACATTCATCAGAGTCAAGAATCACCAGGTGCAACACATAATGATAGTCACAGGGTACAATAAGCCATCAGAAGTCGTCCAGATTAGACAACGCTGGCCTAGATATACAGAAGCTACTTAAATAAGCAGCGAAACATTTTTAAAACAAACCGAAAAGTCCACCCGCCACGATTCAACTCCCAGATTGGCAGCCCTACAAGCGCCACGTACTGGCAATTTCCCCCAATTCGAAAAGAAACCCAGTTTTAAGCTGAAATGTTTTCTGCTCTTCTCTCTCCCCCCCTTCCCCCCCCTGCTTCTGTTTTATCCTGGCGAGGCAGGGACGAAACATTTCGATCAAATGTCTACGGAGATTCTCAAAACCATCCAGGTCAGGGTTGTCGCAAAGGTGCTTTTCCAAAAGACAACTGGACTTTCCTTCTGCTTTTTCGTTTGAAAACCTTTCATTTCTTCCTCTGAGAAGCTGCAGTTCTTCAGACTTCCGTCTGTCCATCCATCCATCCATCCCGCTCCCTCCCATTCCCATCTCTCCTTCCTTCCTTCCTTCTTTTCCTTCCTTCCTTCCATCCATCCTTCCTTTTCCTTCCTTCCTTCTTTTCCTTCCATCCATCCATCCTTCCTTTTCCTTCCTTCCTTCTTTTCCTTCCTTCCTTCCTTCCCATCCATCCATCCTTCCTTCTTTCCTTCCTTCTTCCTTCTCCCTCCCTCCCATTCCCATCTCCTTCCTCCTTTCTCTTTCTCCCTCACTGTCGGTTCACCAACACTGGAGCTTTTAAAGAAGAGATTGGATCACCATTTGTCTGAAGTGGGGTAGGGTTTTCCTGCCTCAGTAGGGGGTCGGACTAGAAGACCTTCCAAGGTCCCTTCCAACTCTGTGATTCTGCCTGTTCTTTTCCCTTCCCTCCCCTCCCCTCCTCTCTCTGAAGAACTGAAGAAGCTTCTTGGAGGAGAAGCGAAAGGCTTTTCAAGGAAAACAGCCGTGTCCGTGTGCCTTTGGGGAGGGCCCCTTTGGGAGGTCAAGCCTTCCCACCCCTTCCCCGTGGCCATCTGGGGCTCGAGGGCCGAGCTCTGGCCTCCTGGCGGTGGCCGCTCACGTGCCTTCAGAGTGTCCACCTCCTCCTCCTGCAACGCAGCCAACATGAAGATCTCCCGGAAGCCCGGCCAGCCTTTCTGGGCCTTGGAGCCCTCCGGGGTCTCGTGCTCCGTGGCAGAGGCCCAGCCCGGCTCCTTCCGCAGGGGCTCCCCGGGGCCGCTCTTGGGGGGCCTGTACAGAGACCGGATTCCCAGCTTCTTTCCTCCAAAGGCGCCTTCGGTCAGCTCCGCCACCAGCTCCAAGAGGAGGCCCTTCTGCTTCACCAGATCCACCTGGGCCCGGGAAGGGAAACCAAGTCAGCTGCTTTATCCTGTTTCCCCCCAAAAATACGACCTACCGCTGAAAGTAAGCCCTAGCTCGATCTCTACATGTCCCTCTTCCCCACGGCCTGGGTGAGTCCAGAAAGGACTGGTCTTAAATGTTTTGAAAATAAAATGGGAAAGAACGATTCTATGCTCTTACATTTTCAAATCAAAAAATGTCTAGCGAAGTAAATCACCTGATGGTTTTAAATTGGATAAGCGAGATTGTCAAAAACAACCTGGTTTCAATAATTTTGCGGTTCTCAGAATACACCACAAAATAAGCCCTAATGAAGACCCTCCCACCCACCCACTCCAGAGTGGACGGGTAAAAATTAAGCTAGGGTAAGGATGGGGGGAGGGAGTGGAGCTGCCCTACTATTTACCTTTGGGCAGGTGTAGCCAGGCCTCGCACACCCCGACACCTGCCTTGCCGGCCCATTTCTTCTGCAGCCAGCAAGGCTTTCTGAAGGCTTCTGGAGCCGATGACAAAGCTCTGGATCGATCCTGAAGGGTGCAGAGGCCTTCAGGAAAGCCTTGCTGGCCACAGGAGTTCCAGAAGGCCTCTAACAGCAAAAAGGAGGCTGGGGGTAACGCTCGCAAGTGAGGTTAGTCGGTGGATGATACGTCCTCCGAAAATAAGACCTGGTGCCTTTTTTGGTGGCAAAAAAAAAGATATATATTAGACAGGGTCTTATTTTCAGGGAAATACAGGTAGCAAGTCACGGAAAGACAGAAAACGGACATGTGAAAAGGAACCAGTGATCCACCGAGCCTGCCCTTTGAGGGTTTTCTATTTATTATTTTTAATTATGGCCCTTTTTAAAAAATTACACGAGATTATTTATTTTATCTTTTGTTTCTTTACGCATTCATCTTACGGCCCCCTTCAGATTGTATTTCAGTAAAACAGAACATGGATTAACGTTTTGGCGAGTGGGGGTGTGTGTGTTTGGGGATTGTCATGTGTGTGTGTGCATGTTCAGTCTGGTCTCTGGGAGTTATGTGAATTTCATTGTATGTATACAGTGTATATACGTACAGCGACAATAAAGAATTCAATTCAACTCAATAAATGAAATAAGTCATCACAATACAGGACAGACTGGCCAGCAAAAGCATTTTCTGTGTTCTGCGGTACTCAACAGTTACACGGTTGAGGTGTTAAGATTTAAGAAGTGATTAGCAGCAGTAATAGCTGCCAACTGCTGTAAGTCTGATGCAACTGTAAGGCCGATGAAGTAAGAATGGCTCAGCATAGCATGCGTATTTCCCTTTAAGACTGGGGATATATAAAGGCAGCCATTAGAGGGCATGTTCTCTCTTCTTGAGTCCGGTATTCCTTGCAGAGTTTCTCCGTGTAGAGTTAACAAGGTATTTTACCTACCATGTATATTTCTCTGTTGTGGCTCCGGGCTTGGATTCAGCTCCTGTGACTGATATGAGTTCAAATGAGGAGGACATGGCAGAAAAATATGAGCCGGCATGGCTCAGTGATTGGACTGGTAACCAGGATGAGGAGATGGACGTGACAAAGGACGACAGACCTGATGTATTAGAATTGTCAGGACCTTTGACCTCCTCTGGTTCCTTATCTGATCAACAGCCGGGAATGGCTGACAGGGAAGTTTTGAGAGAGTCTTCTAGTGGAGATGAGAACTTGGAAAATTTGTGGTTAAATGTAAAAAATAGAAGACGGTTGAGAAGGCAAAATCAGCTGGAACGGAGGAGGAGAGCGAGTCAGTAAATTAGCACGTTGCCTCAATGAGTATAAAAGGACACAGCTGGGCTGGTACATTTTGCCAGGAACAAAGTGACTTATTTGAGTGAGGACGTTACAGCAAGAAGCTCTGAGACTGGAGATTTATTGCCAGGACTGGTTTGCCGGACAGAGTAAAGATTTATGCTGTGGATTGAGATTTCTGCCAGCAGTTATCTTGTAAGACTTCTTTCCGTTTGATTTAATTGTGAAATGGCTGCTTTCTGTCTGTTCGTTGGAATTTTGAAGGGGAGTCATAACATTTCTGTATATAACTGTTGTACATAAACCACAGTTAAATGTCTAAGCCTCTATGTGCCATGGTTTGCTCCCAGGTTGTCTCATAATGGTACTCACACTCCAAACACTTTGATATACACATGCCAGGCAATCCTGAATACAGGTAGTCCTCGACTTACAACAAGAGTTCCTTTAGTGACCATTGGAAGTCACAACGGCACAGAAAGAAGTGACTTACGACCGTTTTTTCCCACTTAGGACCATTGCAGCATCCCCATGGCCACTGATCAAAATGGGCAACTTGGCAACTGACTCGTATTTTACGACGGTCGCTATGTCCTGGGGTCATGTGGTCCCGTTTGGCGACCTTCTGACGAGTATAGTCAATGGGGAAGCCAGATTCGCTTCGTAACGGTATGACTAACTTCTCAACTGCAGTGATTCACTTAATGACCATGGCAAGAAAGGTCGTAAAATGGAGCACAAAGTCAGTTAACTGTCTCACTTAGCCAACAGAAATCTTGGGCTCGACTGTGGTCGTAAGTTCAGGGCTACCTGTACTGAAGACCCCCCCCCACAGAACATGTATTTTGAGAATCACCCAATAACAGAGTTGGAAGGCACCTTGGAGGTCTTCTAGTCCAACCTCCCTAGGCCTAGACCATTCTGGACAAATGCCTGTCCAATTCTTCTTGAAATCCTCTAACCCATAACCCCGGGAGGGAAACGACTCCACCGGTTAATTGTTCGGTCACCAGGAGCCAAAGGGGCCTCTTTGGCTGGTGGGGAACCCAGAGAGGGCAAAACAGGTGATACCCATCCCCAGGTGAAGGTTATAGCCCAACAAACTCACCTTGTTCAAGATGAGGAGGCTGGGAACCTGCGGGAACTGCCTCAGGCAGTGAAGCACCTGCGGGTGAAGCTGATGCCGGGTGTGGCGATCCGAGACATCCACCAGGACCAGCACTTAAGGAAAGAGGGAGGAAACGAGCTTTGGGCCAGCCACCTTGCCCGCGGGTGTGCAAAGGGACAGCCAGACGAATTTGTGGCACAAGCCCGTGGCAGCCCTGCCACCTTCGCCTAATCACCGGAACGAAAACAGGGAATGGTATCTGATGGATGCAGGCCGAATCTCACCTAAATCGGCATCGTTCAAGCTGTCAAAGGGGTCAGACAGCATGGTCTTTTCCAGGTTGTGTCTGAAATGGAAAACAGGCAAAGCATCCGTCATAAAGTGAATACTTCTTTCCCCCCTCCTCTCTCTCTCTCTCACACACAAAGACCCACTGTCCAGGGCAACTTGCAAAACTTCCATGACTGGGGGATTCTGGGAATTGGAACCCACCCCTCTTAAAACACGCTGGCTGGGGGATTCTGGGAATGCAAGTCCACCCCTCTCTTAAAGCATGAATTCTGGGAGTTGAGTATCCACGTCTTCAGGTGAGACTTCCTACCTTTTGCCTTTGGCAGCGGTGGTGAGGCCAGGGGTATCCAAGATAATCTAGAGAGAGAACAGGAATTTAAGCATGTTCAAACCAGGACAATATTTCCCTTACTTTTGCAACGTCAAAAAAAAATGAAACTAACTTTTTAGATAACCATCTATCCAGGGTGTCTTGAGCTGTCACACTGATCGGCCTTCAGGAGGGTAGGACAACCTGGACAGTCAAGCTACTCCCTACAAATTGAAGTTTGCCTTTTGGACAGGAGAGCCACCTGTTCTTAAAGGATTGGGGGTTGGAGGGGGATCCACAATGGGGATCCTTTAGATCACAGGTCTCCAATTCTGGAAGCTGAAGTCCGCCAGGCTTAAAGTGGCCAAGGTTGGAGACCCCTGCTTTAGATACCCCAAAAGTCTCTTTTTTAGCTTCTGAAGCTGCCTCCCTTGGTGATCCACACAGTTGGAAGCTGTTACACACAGTCCTCGGCTTACGACGGTTGCTTAAACTACAGGTAGTCGTTGACTTAAACCCATTCTTAGTGACTATTTGAAGTAGCCATGGCACTGAAAGAGTAACCTATCCCTGTTTTTCAGAGTTATGGCTGCTGCAGCATCCCCCTGCTCAAGGTTTTCCTTTCGATATTGACAGAAAAACAGTTTCAACTCCTTCTTATGATGGCTCCTCACCAGCTGGGTATCCTCGGCTGTGATGACGCCTTGAGCGTTGCATCTGGTCGTGTGCACCTTACTGGAGACCGGCAGGATCTGCCAAAAACAAAGAAAAAAAAACAACTCAGAATTATTTTAGATTGCGAAGCCTGAAGAGGAGGCATTATTTATACTTCAGTCCTCAACTCTTATGACCAGAATCGGGAGCAGAATTCCCATCGCTTAAGCAAGGCGGGTTAAGTGAGTCACGTGCAATTTTACCACCATTCCTGCCAGGGTTGCTAAGTGACTCACACGGTGATGACCCAAAGGGCGTGGCAGAAAGGTAGCACAGCCAGATAATAAGTAAAGCTCCAACTTTGTCCCCAACGTCCTGGTTACCTTCCGGCCTGGAGAAAACTCTCTCAGGAACCTATCACAGCCTTTGGCTGCAGATTTCAAGTCCAAAACTTGAAACCATAAATCTAATGAAGGCAAGATGAGGTAATTAATCCGGCAGAGCAAGATAAGGAGTTCCAGAAGTGAAGTACCAAGCAATAAATCAATACAGTTGGGAGGATGCCAGGAACACAGATAAGCCACTACGCCACAGGAAAAATTCACGTTTGTTCCCAGCAGCTGCCGCACTCTGCTTGCATCTCTTTTAAACTCTCTTCCCAGGTGTGTCTAATGAAGGGAATCAGGACCCTTTCCTTCCCCGTAAGCCATGCAACCCATGTTGCTCCCTTTTCCATTCTTCCTTAGGATGAAGAGGGGGTGGGCCTGGGTCTTCCTCTGAACTCCCTCTCCCTTGTTCTATCTCTACGCTGCTTTGCCCAGTTGGACTTTGCCCTTCCCCAGTTTCCTCCACAGCCAACGGAGTCTTCCCTGTTTGTCTTCCTCCTCCTTAGAGTCAGATTCTTGGGGGGCGGGGCATGACACACACCTTTGCTAAGTGAACTGAGCTCCCCCAATGGATTTTGCTCATCAGAAGTTAGCCTCAGGACACCCCCTCCCCCCATGTGGAAACCCCCCCCACCAGAATTGAGTCCTACCGTGGTGGGAAGGTCACCAGCGGCCGTGGTGCTCAATTGCTCAGTGAGGAAAAAACAGCCGCACGTCACTTTTTTTCAGTGCCGCTGTGACTCTCCAACGGTCACTAAACGAGGACTACCTGTCGTGTACGGCTGAAGCGCTCACACCAAGCCTTGGAGCCCCGCGGCCTTTACCTTCCGTCCGAGCAGCTGGTTCGACAGGGTGGACTTGCCGGCGTTGGGAGCCCCGATAATGGCCACTCTCAAGACTTTGGGGTTCTCCGGCTGATCAGGGCGGTGGAACAACAGGGATCTGTGATCACCTACAGGAACAGGGTAAAGGTTGAGTGGGTCACCGCGAGGGGTTCAAAGCCTGAGAGCTCTAAATACGACGCCTTCGCTGGTGTGTGAAGGTCGCAAAAGGGGGTCGCGGGGACGCTGCAGCTGTCATAAATGCGAACCAATCGGCAAGAGTCCTAATTTTGATCATGCGACCATGCTGCCACCGTTGTAACTATGAGTCCGTTGCCAAGCACCTGAATATAAATCACGTGACACACACACACTCACACACCCCGGGAATGCTGCAACGGTCATTAAGTGTGAAACATGGTCCTAAGTCACTTTTTTCAGTGCTGTTGTAACTGTGGTCACTAAACGAACGGTTGTAAGTCGAGGACTGACTGCAATCTTCCTTTCCTAGATTAAAAACAGGTTTTCCTGGACCTTCGAATGGTCACTAAAGGAACGGCTGTAAGTCGAGGACTGCCTGCCCAAGGACGGGCTGGGAAAACCCTCTTGCCGGGGCCAAGAGGGGAAGAGACGCCGGCCTCAGGGACACCCCCCCCCCGTGCGGACACCACCACCCCCCCGGGCCAGGATCGAGGCCTACCGGGGAAGGCGCAGGCGGGCGGGGCGGGCGGCCCCCCCAGAGACGGGCCCGCTTCTCCCGGGGCGATCCCGGCCAGGTGATCCAGCGCGGAGTCGCGGCTCTGCGGGCGAGCCGGGGCGGCCCAGAGGGGCTGCAGAGGGCCCGTTCCCGAAGGAACCCGGCTTGCCTCCTGTCCCTTCAGACCGAGTGGCCGCGAGTTCCTCAGGCTCAGAGCGCGGGCCGAGGCCGGCTCCAGGCGAGGGGAGGCGGCCGGGAGGAGCCGAGCCTGACGCACGGCCAGGCCCAAGGCCTGCCAGCCCAGCCTCGCCGTCGCCATGGTGATCTAGCGCCTCACGAAGCACCCTCGCTGGCCTGCGCCGCCATCTTGGATCTGGCAGCCGGAAGGACATTCTGGGAGGCGGAAGGAACCGACCACAGAGACGAGCGGTGAGTAGAGCGACGCGTGGGGGGGGGAGCCGCGCAGAGGCGTCGGGGGCGTGGCCTCAGAGGAGCAGTGCGCCGCCGCCGCCCTTTCTTCTTTGTGCGCTTCCATTTCAGAGCGCTTTCCGAGCATGCGCAGAACGCCTCGTCGAGTGGGGGGGCGCGTGCGTGGGGACTGGGTCACGTGGTGGAGAAGACTCGGGACAAAAGTTCCTCTGAGCATACGCAGAGCGCATTCCAGACTTGCTTGATCTGTTTTGGAGGTGGGCGGGCATTTTGTTAAGGGCAAATTCTTCAAATTCTCTCTGCAGCATCTCCACCCAGTGCCCTTCAGTACCTCTGAACATATGCAGAGTGCATTTCGGACCCTTTGATCTATATGGAGCTGGAGGGGGGTCTATTTTGTTTGCTTGGGCAAGTGCTTCAAAGGCTTCAGCGGGTCTCTGCAGCACCCTTCCCCGCCCCACTTCCAGTTCCTCTGAGCATAGGCAGAGTTCGTGCCAGCCCTTTCAATGGAGCTGGGCTGTTTTGTTCCCTAGTTCGAGTGCTGCCTGAGTTCAAGGACTTGCATGCTCTCTGTTGCTCTCCAGTCCTCTGAGCATGCACAAAGTACCTTTTGAGTTTCACCCTGTTTGACCTCCACAGGCCTAGTCCCTTTTCTCCCCTGATTGCTTTCTTAGTGCAAGTGTTTCAAGCCCCCTGGAAAAGCCAAATAGCCAGAGCCCTTAGACTTATATCCCGCTTCCCAGTGCTTTCCAGCCCCCTCTGAGTGGTTTACAGCATCCGCCTCTTGCCCCCAACAATCTGGGTCCCTATTTTGCTGACCTGGGAAGGATGGAAAGATGAGTCGACCTGAAGCTTGGTGAGAATCGAACGGCTGGCAGTGGGCAGAATTGGCCTGCAATACTGCATTCTGACCGTTGCACCATCACAGTAGATAGATGGAAGATGGACGGGTGAGAGACAGAACTTAGCGATAGCCCTTAGACGACACATACCACTTCACAGTGCTTTTACAGCCCACTCTAAGCGGTTTACAGAGCCAGCCTCTTGCCCTCAACCATCTGGGTCCTCGTTTTACCCACCTCAGAAGGACAGATGGCTGAGTCAACCTGGAGCCTGGTGGGATTTGAACTGCCCAATTGCAGGCGGCCGGCAATCAGCAGAAGTGGCCTGTAGCACTGCACTCTCACCGCTGCGCCACCGAGGCTCAAAATCATCAAAACCATAAAAAAGCAAAGAATATTTCGGACCTGGGATATGCGACACCCGGAAAAATACAGCCTCCTTCACTTCACCCTCCAGGGAAAGATGGAAGACAAAAGAGGTCCAGGGAGAAGAAGAAGATGATCAGGGCTTCAAAATCTAAGGGTGTCAGGTGATGCTCCATTCAAAATCCAAGAAAGAAATACTTAAGGCTCTTTTAATTAGAGAAAAGATCTCTTTTACTGGAAATCAAGTGGTAGCAACAGCTCTTTGGGAAGGCCTGGATAGCTGGGTAAAATTGGCAAATCCAGGCTAAACCTCTGGCCAGTCATAATAATTAGCTTACATCCTGCAGTGATAGGTTGGCACTTATTAAAACAACGCCTGTCTATTCCAGGTCCTTGAGGAGGAGAAGTGGATAAAACGGGCAAAATTATTTCATGTATTTAGATTTCCTACTTCTGAACTGCCATCAAATCCAGACTGTAGCTCAGAGGTCTCCAAACTTGGCAACTTTAAGACTTGTGGACTTCAACTCCTAGAATCCCGGACCCTCTGTGAGCGGCCGGACAGGAAATCCATAATCCAAAGGCCGATTTGACCAACCCTCAAGGACCCCGTGGGGGCCGACTGTTTTCCCACGCCCGTAAGAAGAAGAGGCAGCAGACTCAAGAGGACTTGGGGGCCATGATTTTATTTTATTTTCGCACAGGAAGATGGGCTACGGTGTCCTTGTGAGGCCGGGTGGCATCTTCTTGCCTTTGGGGTGCTGGAAGGAGATTTATCGGGCAGGGCAGAAGAACCCTTACCATTACTAAACTCAGTAATGGTAACGGTTTCGCTGACACGCCGCGTGGTTGGTCTTCCAAGACGTTTGTAGAGCGGTGGTCTCGCAGATCAGGGCACAGGCCCTTCCCCTCATCTCCACCCCCACTTTCTTGGGGGTCACCCCCCCCCTCCATGCATGAAAGGGGGCTGGACTAGAAGACCTCCAAGGTCCCTTCCGACTCCATTATTCTATATTCTATCAATGGAGCTGCTCCCCGTGATAAGCTGAGCCTGATTTACCTCACTCAAAAATGCTTCAACGCTTTCCTGCTGCTGTATGCCTGGAGATAGCACGGGGGGTTGGGCTAGAGGATCTCCCCAGGGCCCTTCCAACTCTTTGTTATTCTGCTGTGCTGCTTATTCTGTTATTAACCGAGGAGAGAACCAACCTGAACTAAGGAGGAATTTCCCGAACAATTTATCAGTGGAACAACTCGCCACCAGAAATTGTGGCTGCCCCATCACTGGAGGCTTTTAAGAAGAGACTGGAAAGCCACTTGTCTGGAATGCTATAGGTTTCCTGCCTCCGCACAGGGTTGGACTAGATGACCTCCAAGGACCCTGCCAACTCTTGTTATATTCTGTTGTTATGCTGTTAATAAGGTGGGCTGCATATTCAAGGGTCAAATGACAGCAGCCTGACCCCACCAGCTCTTTGGGAAGGCCTGGATAGCTGGGTAAAATTGGCAAATCCAGGCTAAACCTCTGGCCAGTCATAATAATTAGCTTACATCCTGCAATGATAGGTTGGCTGTTATTAAAACAACGCCTGTCTATTCCAGGTCCTTGAGGAGGACTGGAGAAGTGGATAAAATGGGCAAAATTATTTCATGTATTTAGATTTCCTACTTCTGAACTGCCATCAAATCCAGACTGTAGCTCAGAGGTCTCCAAACCTGGCAACTTTAAGACTTGTGGACTTCAACTCCCAGAATTCTCGGCTGGAGAATTCTGGGAGTTGAAATCCACAAGTCTTAAAGTTGCCAGGTTTGGGGGACCCCTGCTCTAGCTGGTTGTGCTATCCACCATATACCTTAACTCACAATTGGGCAACTATGGCCCCTTAATGATCTATGGACTTCAACTCCCAGAATTCCTGAGCCAGCCAATATGGCCGGTTCAAGAAATTCTGGGAGTTGAAGTCCACAAGTCCTCAACGGGCCATAGCTACTCCCTCTTATCTTAGGACACATTCCCTGGCATTTCCATTGATGGGAAAACTCCTTTCTGCAGGCAAACTGGTCTGGGGAAAAAAAAAAGAATTAAAAGATAAAAAAATCCCACTTCCCCCGGGGCTTCTAGTCCACATTAAGGCAAAAGGGCTTCCTGCTTTCTGCTTGCCCCTTTCCTGCTGGCTCTCTCCTGTGAAAAACATTTCCCTCGAGTAAAAATAAAACTCGTTTGCAGCCAAGGTGGAGATGCTTCAAGAGTGGAAAGCCGGAAGGCGCTTCGGATGGACCCAGGAGCTCCAGATAGTACATCATCTATACTGTAGTGTCTGATTCCAACTTACAGTATATGATGATATCCGAGCTGGAAACTCATCAAGTCTTTTTTTTCTCTCAGGGAAGAATAACCTGCAGCTGGAGAACTGGAGAAAGAGAGAGAGAGAGAGAAAGAGGAAAAAAACCCAGAGAAATTAGGGCGATAAAAGCTAGATTAAAATGCCCAATGGGGTTTTCCAGCTGTGCTCAGATTATGCTTTGCACCTGTATATAAAGAAATAGTGGGGACCCAGGGGCTCTTCGGACCAATCTGCAAATTCCAAAACTGAACTCAACTAAATTAAACGGAACTGAAACTATTCTAACCTAACCTAAACGGAAGCAAATTGAATTAAACCTGAACTAAATCTAAACCAAACTGAACTAAACCCGAAGCAAACCCAACCTAACCTAAAACTAAAATAAATCAAAATTAAACTAGAAACTAAACTAAATTGAATTGAATAAATTAAACTAAAATGAATTAAAATTAAACTGTAAACTA